ATGCTATGCACCATAGCACAATTTTGAAAATATTGTATTTAATTAAAATGGGAATTTCTGAAATGATTGCTATAGCATTTATCTTTCGAAATCTCACATAAAACTTTTGACCCATGCAATATTTATGAGTTAATTTTCCTTTTCCCATCTCATCTTAGCAATCAGAAGGACAGTCTCAATTCCAAATTATCGAAGGTGGGCCACTGACAGAATGTGCACCAGCAATGTTAGAGATACCCAGCAACCACTCTCTGCTTACATGCATTCAGAGCACTTGCACATACAATATAAACACAGACTTCAAAGGCACACCTGCAAGAGTTGCCATTGTCACTTGCTGTTTAATATTTAAACAAATCGTTTAGAATTTATGGCATATACTTGCTGACTTTTTAAACGAGAAAAAAAAAAGAAAAAGAAAAAGCTAGCCTATTACTTGCTGGTAGCAATCAAATAGGATTAACTGCAAAAATTCTACAGGAGGCACATAAGAAAAGAAATTTAACGAGTCAACAGGTATTATTACATAGTAAGTTTCCCATCCCTGATCCTCTATCAGTCAGTAGTATGTTTGAAAAGGCCATATTGCAACCTACTAAGCTCTCTGTGGCACAGCTTCCCTTTAAAAAATTAGTAAATGTTTCCTTTCAATGATCAAATAGATATTTCTGAAAATTGAGAGACAAGCAATGTGCTCAATGGGTCCTCTTTGCTTTTCTTCACCCACTACTTCATTTTGCCTTTCTTTTCATAACCCTTACCTGTAATACCCTCAAGATTCTATTCCAAGACTTCTTTCCTCTCCCCCACCCTCTAACCACTGTCATGTGGAATTGCATTTTTACATAGAGTTTGGCTCTAAAATTATTGAGCAATGCGAAAATTCATATGAAGTCAGAAGTACATTAGAAAAATATCCCTTTATTCACCCTTAACATACAATATGCATGGCCATTTTTATGCATCATGTTTAAGGCTGTGAAACCCTCCAACTCAGCCAGTTTTTTCTCCAGCATTGGAACAGATTGCTGTTTTCCCAGCTAAACACCTGATGAAGTAGTTGGCTTGCGTTTAGGGGCCATGTTGTACAAAAAAAAATGTATCTTAAAACACTTGAATCACACTCAGCATGGTGAGATGCTCATACTATGAGAGCAATTCAGGAACTGAGACCAACTGAAGGAACATTGGATTCACATCTCGCTTCTCACGCTCCTCTGGGGCATATGCTCTAGTGGAACGTGGGACAGAATCACCCACATTATTTACATTCTTCTCTTTCTTTATCTTCCTGGCAGAGTAAGTATAATTGAGTATGGATGAGAACTTTATTCTGCATGTGTTGAGGAAATATGCTATTTAAAACTACAACTTTCCCTAAGAAGGGCACCTCTTGTTAAAGGAAATGTAGGGGTCGGAGTTACTCTTATTTGCCACAAGGATCCTCTTTGATTAATGGAGTGAACACCTCACAAGTTGAGAACATACACAGATGGAGACACATGAAGCTCTCGTTTCTCTATATCATGGCTTCTCAATTTTTGCTCTCTCTACATTTTGAATCAATTTGTTGTGGGAGTTGTCCTGTGTATGTATTGTAGGGAGTCTAACTTCATCTCTGGATTCAACTCCCTGGATACCGGTAGTAATCATCCCCAAGGGGAAGAAAACCAAAAATGTCCCCAGACATTGCCAAATGACCTCACACCCTGCCAGCCTTTATTGAGAAACACTACTCTTTATAATAAAGTATGATGATTTGGGGGGAAATAAGGGGGGACCATGCTTAATGGAAAAAGTAAAAAGGAAATATAGAGAGGGCATTGTAGCAAGGCTGGGCACCATTTCAGATAAAATAGTCTCTGAAAAATCCTTAGTCATGGGATTATGGAATTCTTGAAAAACCATTATATCTCAAATCCAGCTTAAGCTGTTTTCTGTTATGGAAGCCCCTTTCTATTCCCTAAGTCTTCATAGCTCTACCATAAACACCAACACCATGTATGAACAACTGACCTGGGGCTATCAAGAAAGGAAATGAGTTGCCTATCTGGGCAGACACTATGTTCAACAGGGGCCCTGGAGGACAGTCTGCTTAATTCAGAGGAAATGCCATCTTGGAACCAGCAGCAATCAGGAAAATCTTTATATTTCCACAGTGAGTAGATTGTGGGGGTTAGGATTGGGAATAGAAAAGAACGATCCTCAGTGTGAAGACAGTGCCTGCTATGTGGTGCATACCTGCCGCAGAATCCTGCGGATTCCCCCTTTCCCTCAACCTTTAAATATTGCAGTTTCTTCTATTTCTCCATCTCTGCTGCTCCTCCTTCATCCTGTCACAATATCCTCTAAATTTTCCTATAATCATTGAGAGGTATTTTTTTAAGGCCAGCTCAATTCCTGGGCACAGATTGCAAAGAGTTCCATTCCTCTTGGCTCGCTGCACGTTTAGTCCCAGATTCACAATGTCACATGTCAACCATTTCCTGAACACATGCTACTCTTTGTTGCTTCTGTTATTGTGTCAACCTGCTTCTCCTTTTAGAAAGTATTTCATTGTCATGCCTTTCTGTCTAAAGTTAACCTATTCTCCTCCACTTTCAAATATCAGTTCAATAATACTATTTCTCATAGTAAAACTTTGAACTCAGAGGGTCTTATGTCTATGTTTTTAATAGCATTTACCATTTTCTCCCTGTTTTTACAGATGTTTACATACATAATATCTTTACTCCTAGACTCAGAGTATCTTGAAAATGGGAATCATGTCTTAAAATAAACGACTCATAATAGCTAGTAAGTAGTTGATATTAATTTTTCTTAAAAAGAATTTAAGTCGCCACTTAAAAGGACACACACAAAAAATGGTTAATGACTTAAATTTTTAAAAAGCAGAAAAGTAGGGGCTGGGGTTGTGGCTCAGTGGTAGAGTGCTCACCTCACATGTATGCGGACCTGGGTCCAATCCTCAGCTCCATGTAAAAAATAAATAAATAAGATGAAGGTATTTTGTCCAACTACAACAACAACAAAAAAATCTTTTTAAAAAAGTCCGAAAAGGAAGAAGATATAATAGATAAATAGAAACTGAAGAATAGGTTATCAATCAATGCTTGCTGAAAAATGAAATGCATTTTCCTCACAAGAGAATTACAAGTGGGGTGGGGTATAGTGGTGCACACCTGTAATCCCAGCTGCTTGGGAGGCTGAGGCAGGAGGAGTGAAGGTTTGAGGCCTACCTCAGCAACTTAGCAAGACCCTGTCTCAAATTAAAAATAAAAAAGGCTGGGAATTTTGCTTGGTGGTAAAGCACCCACGGGTTCAATCACCAGTACCACCAAAAAAAAAAAAAAAAAAAGAAAGAAAGAAAGAAATACAGACAGACTAGTGGGTCTGATCTTAGACATTGACTCTGATTGCTTTTTCACAATTCTTCCCCAGTGGTCCTGTCTATGCCACACTGCTCCACCCTCCTTCTTAATTCCATGTTTTCTTCCTTACCCAAATATGGCCACGATTTATTATGTGGTCCATTAGGAGCTGCCATCTTCTTTCAAGACCTTACCTTCCTTACCACAGTGACAATTCTAGACATGGGCACTTGATTCAAGCCAAGCCATAGCATCTCTTAGATTTTTGGAATTGAAACAAGAGGTAAGAGCTTTTCTCCATGGATCATGAGCCAGGAATCTGCTAAATCACCCCAGCTCCTCTGTGGACAAAGCAGATTTTTTCAGGAGAAGAGACTGAAGCCAACCTACACAAAGAAGCAGAGATCAGAAAAAGAGAGAACATTCTGATGGTATTTGGCCTCTGGTTCTTGTTTCTGAGACCCCATGCCCCCTACCCCCCCAAAGCTGCCCCTGTTCCCCGCTTTGGATTCTTATTGGATTAAGTCCAGACTCTTGAGTCTGACAGTCTGGCATTTCCAGCACCCAGTCAGCCTTATCTTGCTTTCTAAATTCTCAGTTGCCTTCTCTCAGTTGCCAGATTCATTTTTTTTTTCCGCTGTGGTTTTATTAAAGTTATTTCCTTACCTTGAATGACCTTTTGCTTTCACTCCCTGTAATACTAATTCCAGCCTCTCTTCAGGGTCTAGTTTAAAATCTCTCTCTTCCATTAAAATCCTTCTTGATTGATATTTTCTTTCTCTCAACTATTATATACTTATATCCCCAGCTTTTACCACACTGCCTGAAATATATTCTTTCTGCCTTGGTTTGTTCCTCTTGTACGTTTTCCATGTGAAAGAAATCTTTTTTGTTTGTTTGTTTTTTCCCCTACAAACTTAACTGCCATTAAGAAACTGAAGCTTTCCTTTTATTTAATAACACCTTAATGTGGGTATGATGGTTTGGGGCAAGGAATCGGGGAGAAGTGAAGGGATCCATATACAAAATAAAGCAGACTATGAAACTCTCACCAGCAACTCAGAAATTAGAAGGGAGTTTTGGAGGAAGGGAGGAGAGGAAAGGAGTGAGAAAGGGGAAGGTTGCGATCATTTTCCATGTTCCCAATTCCACAGGAAATTAAAACAAAACTCATAAAATGCTTGGAGGCCATGCATATTTTATGGAAACTGATGAAGAGATTGAGTTTTGGGTGGAGTTTGTCAAGGGGAAAGACTGAGGCATCACACAGGAGTGCAGGTGCCATACACAGAGCTACCATGAAAGATTGGAGATTTGCAGAAAGCGTGAGAAGGATTCTGAGATTTAACCAGGTCTGCATTTGGGAGTTCAAGCCAAGGAGCAGGAGGTCTCAGTGAACACTGGGGTCACAGTGTGTATTGGTTTAGTCTTAAACACATTAGATTTGCCTTTCCACACTGGTTGTATGTTCCGTGAAACACGGCCACATTGTCTATGTCTGGGTGCTTTCAAACTGTGTCGGGCAAGGTGCATGTTCCTATCCCTTGTGTCTTCACTTCTCAGTATCTTTATTTCACTACCTTCCTGGTAGGTGTAGGGTAGTAACTCTTCCATTTTTGCTTTAATCAGGCCAGTTCCCAGCTTTGTGGAAGAAGGATAAAGAGCAGAGGGGAAGAAGACAGCACTAGAATGGTTCTCTGCAGCCATTGAAATTCTTCTGGTGATCCGACTCCTGCATCAGAGGGCTTCATTTGATTTCTCCAATCTCATTTCCTTCTACCCAACGTGACTGTCTTCCAGGAACGGTGAGTCCCTCTCTGTCTATGTGAGTAGACAGAGTCTCATCTCATCGTCTACTTTGACACTGTTGTTCTCACCCCAAACACACTACTCTTCTCTACCTACGAATCTGGCTTGTGTCCTTAGACTCCAGATTCCCTCCAGGAAACTATTCTGACTCTCAATTCATCATCAATTATTTTTTGCTCAGAACTTTGGTTGCATTTATAGTTTGTACTATGCCACATGACATTGATTATTGTTCTCTCCTTGATTTCATGATGGGTCATCATCTCAGAAGCAGCTTGAGACCAAAGTAGTGATTGGTAGTTTTCATATAGTGGGTGTTCAGTACTTATTTTTTAATAAGTTCCTTCCTTAACTGGATTCACAAAGGTCAGGGGCTTTATTTTGTTTCCTACTCTTCCTCCAATGACAGAACATTACCAGGAAAATAATGGGGACTAAATGAATATTTATTGAATGAATGAATAAATATCAGTGTGACAACCTTCATTACTCCTAATAGTGAAGCACAATCTTTTGTTTTTCCTTTGTTTTTAACTGCATAATGTTTAAGACCTTTTCATAACTCTCTTGAATCTAATAACTGAGGCTCCTTTGTTCAATTTTTCAGCCTTTCTGTTCAGTTCAAATGCTACTGTTTTGCTCCTTCGGTGTGGGATCAGTCATTCTTAAAGCACTGCACTTATTTCAAATCACATTTGTGCCACATTTAATCTATTTATACCAAAAGAGAAAACAGGGGAGCAATACATATGCATAGCCTGCTCCTTTACTTCCATGCTCCCTTGGGTATATCATGACACTGCAAAGTGAGACGTGGGCATGGTTATGGTCAAAAAGAATCTCTCTAGAGACGTGCCATTTTCATAAGTGGAAATGTTCAATATCATAAAGATATCAACTACCTTCAAGTTAATCTGTAAAAATGGGATGATATTCCAATCAAAATTCTAAGAGAGTATTTTAGAAAGTCAACCTGGAAGCTCACAGGTTGACTCTAATACTTATTGGAACCAAAGATTGAGAATAGCCAAAGTAATTTTAAAGAAGAATAAAAGAAAGAGCCTTGGTTTTCCAGATGTCAAGAATTATTATAGAATCATATTAATTAATTTAGAATGATGGTAGTGCAGGAATAGATGAATAGACTAATAGTGTCTGATATAAATGTATATATCTATGAATGTGACATTATAAATTAGGGGAGGTATCAGGTTGGAAAAAAATGGTGCTGCATCAATTGACTGCCATATGATAAAAAAGTATATCCACTATGTCATATATAAAAATGAAGTAAATTCCAGGGGGACTAGCAGCTCAAATGTAAAAAGCAAAAACTGTAATTCCTTGAAGAAAAATACAGAACATTTTCAAAGCTTGAAGTAGGGGATTTTTCTAAACAACACAGAAGATGCATAAACCATAAGGGAAAAAGATGGATGGATTTGCATTAAAATTTAAAATTCCTTTATAAAAAGAAATCATAAAGAAAATTAAAAGATAAGTCAAAGACTGGGAGAAGATATTTCAAATATCTCAGATATATATATCTTACAAAGAATGCTATCTGAAGCATATAGTTTAAACCCCATAAGAAAATGATCAAGAATTCAATAGGAAAAGTGGGCAAAGATATGAATAGGCAATTTGCAGGAAAAGAAAATGTGTAAAAATAAATGGTCATTTATGCTTGTCTCTACAACTATTCAGGGAATTATAACATATAATAAATTTGAACATGCAATACTCTATTTTATTGAATATATATACATTTATATATATATATGAATTTTACTGCATATATATATGTGTGTGTGTATATATATATATATATATATATATATATTTCCTGCATAATAAATAGAAAGAGTCTCAACAAAATTATAATTGTAAAAAAATGAGAGAAATCCAAATTCTCATTAGCAGGAGAATAGATAAGTAACTAAGTAACTTGTGGCATTTCCACAAAATTGGCTAACATAAACTAATTAGAGCTATGTGAATTAATATAAATAAATCTCAAACATCATCTGAAGGAAAAAAAGCAAACTGTATATATATATATATATAACAATACTTTTATATTATTCAAAGACATATGCCATATAGTATAGCAGACTGGGGTACCTCAAAGCAGGTTCTGAGACAAAGATTACCTAGTTGGAGGTTCCATAGTGATTGGTTTTGGGGACCTGTCCTGGAAGGGAAGTAAAGGTACGAGGAATGGGAGGGAGAGACTTTGGAGCATGGCACAGTCTTAACAAAAGCCTCAGTCAGTCCCTCTGAAAGCCTCTTATACTGGAATTGCCCATTGGAATGGTCCTGAGTTGGGCTGAGAGTCCTGGTCTCTCTACCCCTGCAGTGATGAGTGAAGGGTAGTGGGATGGTGCCTGACCTTGGGGAGGCAGCTCTCCTCAGCCCTCATGTATCCATGAGGAATATTCAGGCCAATATTCTGCTGTTCTTCTCCTGGAAATATGATAGCATTATACTTTCTGACATCTTTTAAATTAGATATGGACACCTACTTTTCTTTGGCCAATGGAATCTGAGCACAAGTAGCATGGGTCACTTCTAGGCCAAAGTTTTTACTAATCCAAACTCCCATGGTGATCTGTGACATTCGAGATGATGGGTGGCAGCTCTTCCTGCTGCATCTTTGAATGAAAATAATGTGGACCGGTGTACTCAGACATCCTGTGATCACCATGAAGCATGAACAAAAAGGGAATATTTTCAGTTGCAAATTACTAATATGTTGGAGTTATTTGTCACAGCAGGATAATATAGGTATTTTGATGGATACCATGTTTTAATTCCAAACATCACTTTTACCATCTTTCATCTTCTATATGTTGCCCAATGTATGGACTTAATATTCCTTCCTGTCTTGGTCAAGATCAGGATTTCACATGGATCGTTCTACAGAACACTAGTCATGTGAGTCATTCTCTGAAATCATGGTTTTTATGGTCAGCTAGGTAGGAAACCACATACATTATCACTCTCTTGGAGATTTATAATTGCTCATTAGCATATTAAATTTCCTAGGAAGACTTTCCATAAAAAACCCTGTTTTAATTAATGTTAATCTTCCATTTCACAAACTCGCTGCACTATGGAACCCTAAAAATAACATTCATTAACATCTGACAAAGGAACACCTTTTTGGAAACTATGCCCTGAGCCATTTTCCTCTTTCCATTGCAATTATACACATCCAGCAGGTCTGCTTGGGAGTGAAGAGAATGGAACTGGGGCTTATTTACAATGGGTTTAAGAACTAAGAGCCTTTCTATAAGCACACAATTTCAATAGAATTGACTTGAAAAAAATGTACTGTATTGGCTTTAAAAACAATCAATACCCATGCAAAATAAAAAGAATAGCAAACACTATTATGTATTGGATGTGGGGTCCTAAGGCTGGCAATATGTTTTTAAAGCAATTGTAAATGAAATGTAAACCAATTAAAGTTAGTTCATAATCACTGCTAAATGGGTGGTTGAGGTTGTCTACCATCACACAGTGGGTTTAGGCTTAAGCTGTGTGACTGTATTCTGTGTATTGGCTCCCAGAATCAAGGTTTCACTGAGTCTCCAAATACTTTTTGATATTATTTTGAAATTCTTACTTGAAGTGTTATAGATAAGAACTTAAATCTTAAGTACAAATAATTAGGGTGATTAGTGTCTCTGTATATTTCCATCATGGCATCAGAAAACAAGGAAATTTGCCAGTTTTCCAATCAAGCAAACTAAAAAGAAAAAGAAAGAAAGAAAGAAAGAAAACCGCAAGCCTGCTTGCCTGCCTTATCATTGTAGCAAATTATAGCTCAGCTTGCTGGCTGAGAAAATGCCCCACTCAGAATGAGGAGGCAGGGCAGACAGTTGCCTGTCTTTATAATTTTTTTTCCTTACAGAATTTAGATAAGAGTTAAGGAATTAGTTGTTTTGAATGAAAATCCATATTTTAATAAATCAGAAAGTGGTTGGCAACCAGAGATGGAAGGAGCAGAATGTTGCATAATCTCTAACGTCGTCTTCTTTTTCTGTGTTCTGAATGGAAAGATAACTATTTTAGTTGACAGGAAGAAAAGACAAACACTTTAAGGGAAACACAAACTATGGAGGTGTGCCTTTGCCCACACGCAGGAGTTAGAGTTAGGAATACGATTCATAGCGTAATGTATTAGAGACTCAGAATCCAGATATTTTGGGAGTAGATGGCTCAGCAAAAACACAAATTACTTTTAGACCCAATCTATTATTTATTATTTCAACTTATAAAGAATGCACCCCATGCATCTTTGGGATGAAGAGTTCAAAGTCATTGTGATTGTTTAGTTGGCTTATCTCTTGCAATAGAAATCTGCATATTTTATGTAGAGTTAAAGTTGTGTTTTTTTAAGAGACTGTCATGTCATAAAAATAACAAGTTATTATTACAGAATACCATTCACAGTGCCATTATTAATGTATTAATTATTTTTAAATTACATATCAAAGAATGATATCCTGACAATAAGAAATTTTAATTAAATGATGAGGAATGGATGCAGAGATTTGGAGTGGGACATTATTTTATCAGTACACTTAATCACACTTATTCCCCTGAAATCAGTATAAAAAACTCTCCAGAGGCCTGGTGTAGTGGTGCACACCTCTAATCCCAGCAGCTTGGGAGGCTGAGGCAGGAAGATAGAGTTCAAAGCTGGCCTCAGAAAATTAGTGAGGCCCTAAGCAACTCAGAGAGGCCCTGTCCTAAATAAAATACAAAAAAAAAAAAAAAAAAAGGCTGGGGATGTGGCTCAGTGGTAGAGTGCTCCTGGGTTTAATCCCCAGTACCCTTCCCACCCACCCCCCAAATAACCTCTCCAGAGTTCAAAATGCAAACGCTGTTATTTGTAAATTGAAGTAACTACTTTCTTTGTTGGAATATCTGTTTACATTAATTACCATTTCTAAGACCTTCTTCTTTGTTAATTATTTCTAAAACC